GCGGTTCAAACCCACCAGCCACTCCTTGGAAGGAAGGTTGGGCAATCTACTTCCATAGTGATACTGCCTTGGAAACCCAAGGAAGGGTCGCTATGAGTCGGGTCGGACTCAATGACACACAACAACAACCAGTTTCAAGGAGTAGGAACCCCAGGGGGTGACAGGACAATGTAGGGCATGTCATTACTGACTCTGTTTCTCCATCTGCCTGGAACTTTGTGCTGTCTCCTCCTCTAGTGCCTTCCTGATAAGTTTTGGTTTAGGTTGACGATGCCCGATTCAGAATGTATCTACTTACAATAAATATATTTGGTTACACTAATTTTTGGTGTTTCTCTGCCTATTTAGGTTTTTGACAGATCATAAAAATAGCCATTCAGCCTTCCAGCCCCTTCCTAATTTCCTTATAATGACACCTGGAATACAGCACAGCTGGGTTTTTGCAAGGAAAAAAAAAAAACAGGAAACCTATGCTCACTACTTTACACTGAGACTTGAAAGTAAACTTAAAATTTCATCAAAATTGCATTTAGTACTGGGTGAACTTCAAACAAACAGAACACTAAAAATACCACCTGTTTTCTCTTCCACTCACCAAGGTACCATAATTATATCTTGACACAGGATGGAAAACTGGGACTTACCAGCTTCAATGCATTCTGGCGTCAAGCAGTACTCCTGTTTAGCTTGGAGACTTAAGAAACCTTGACTCACTGAAAAAAAACCAACCAAAATAAATCAATTACTGACTTGCAACAGACCACCATCAGGTAAACCACCACCAGGCACGTATGCAAAACATCCTTCTGATGTTTAAAATGTTTAAAATGTTGTTTAAAAATCCAATTGGCCCAGTGTCACTGAACCAGATTCTGGCTACTAGCTAAATGACTAGACAGATTCTTGGCTGCTCTGGAACTCAGTTCTCGCTTGTGTATGAATGGGTACAACTAAACCAGTGGCTCTCAGAGTGTGGTCCCAGCAGCTGCAGCAGCTGCATCCCTTCACCAAGGAGCTCGTTAGAAATACGAATTATCCAGCCCTACCCCTGAGGGAGATGGGGGCAGTGCTGGCTCAGTGGCAGAAGTTTCATCTTCCAAGCAGGAGACCCTGTTCCATTCCCAGTCAATGTACCTCAAGCGGGGGTAGTCACCACTCGCCTGTCTGTGGAGGTTTCCGCGTTGCTATGATGCTACACAGGTTTCAGCAGAACTTCCAGACCAACATGGACTAGGAAGAGAGGCCTGGTGATCTACTTCTGAAAATCAGTCAATGAAAGTCCTATGGATCGCAACAGTCTGCTCCCCATCCAATCGCAGGGATGGCCCAGGCGGCATTAGTTCTGTTATGCGATGGGTCTCCATCAATTTGGAACCACTAGAGGGCAGCAAACATCCACCTTAGACCAACTGAATTAGAAACGCTAGGGGTGGGGCCCAACCACTACGTATTAACAAGCCCTAGGGAGCTCTGGTCCTCAGAAGGAAGATGGGGCAATCTAATTCTGTAGTGATACTGCCTCGGAAACCAAAGGAGGGGTCGCTATGACTCAGTCCGACTCGACAGCACATAACAACAACCAGGCGAAGCGGATCTGATGTAAGCTCAAATTTGAGAACCCTGCTCTAGATACTCTTTTCCATGTCTGATTATTTGAGGTTTAAATCCTATAATTTTCTCTTTATGACTGTATCGCTGTTTGGGAGATGGGAAATTTTAAATGAATTGCTAAAAGAGAAAAACTGAGAGACAGGAAATGACAGATTCCTTTCAGTATATAGGAAAATTCACAAAGGTCGCTGACCAATGTAAAATGTACCCAAGAACACACACAAAGAAATAATGTGGAGACACATTGATTGCAAAGTCATACAGATTCTCCTTTGTGATAAAGACATATATTAGGCATACTAAACCAAAACCCACTGCCAGTGAGTTGATTCTGACTCATAGCAACCCTACAGTACAGGACAGAACTGCCCTATTTGGCTGCTAACCAGGTCAGAGGTTCAAACCCACCAGCTGCTCCACAAAAGGCTGATGGGGCAATCTACTTCCATAAAGGTTTATAGCCTGAGAAACCCAACAGGGGTCGCTGTGAGCCACAATAGACTTGAGGGCAGTGGGTTTGGTTTGGTTTGTAGAGTTTCCGAGGTTGTAATTGCTATGAGAGTAGACTACCACATGTTTCTCTCGAGGAGCGGCTGATGGGTTCAAACCGCCCCCACCAACCTTTTGGTTTGTAGCCAAGCACTTTAGCCACTGTGCGTGCCATCAGGGCTCTTCATTTATACTAGCTCACAGTTTATCTTATGTGAAGAAATTTACTTTAGGTATTTCCCTGGCCTCTTGAGAGAGAATTCTAAAACTTTATAATTTCCTGAGTAGTTAACATGCTTTCATCATTTAAAAGCAGCAGCCCTGATGGCGCAGTGGTTAAGTACTCGTCTGCTAATCAGAAGGTCTGTGGTTTGAACCCACCAGCCGCTCCACAAGAGAAAGATGTTGCAGACTTCCGTAAAGCCTTGGAACCCCTAGGAGGCAGTTCCATGGTGTCCTATAGAGTCACTGTGAGGGGGAATTGACTCTATGGCAACGAGTTAGAGGGTTTTTCTTGTTATCATTTTAAAGCCTCCTGACTATACCTAAGAATCTGTACAAATGAATAGGGGGCCAGTAAGGCCACAGACCACCTAGTACCCTGATGCCAGCTGATCTCAGTAAGGGCAGGCATGGTTCCATCAATCACGTTAAATTTAGCCTTTGGTTTTCTCTTCTATTTCCTCCTCTTTTCCTTCATTCTCCTCATTGTAACTACCTGCACTGAGCCATCTGTTTTTCTAGAAACAAAATGGTCTCCCTGTATGCATACAGATCAACTTTTCAAATAAATCTGGTGGTGGTTGTGAGGTGCCCACAAGTGGGTGCCAATCATAGCGACCCCATGAATGAAGCACTGCCTGGTCCTGTGCCACCCTCAGTCACTGCAATGTTTGAGCCCATTGTTGCAGCCACTGTGTTAATCCATTTCCTTGAGGGTCTTCCTCTTTTAAAGTGGCCCTCTACTTTACCAAGCATAATGTTCTTCTCCAGGTCCTTCATAATAGAAGTATGTCTGTCCCCCCATTCTCACTTCCAAGGAACATTCTGGCTGTACTTCTTCTAAGACAGATTTATTCATTCTTCTAGCATATTCTGAAGAATATGCAATATTCTTTACCAACACCATAATTCAAATGCATCAGTTCTTCTTCTGTCTTCCTCATTCATTGTCCATCTTTCACATATATTGAGGCAATTGAAAATACCATACTTTGGATCAGGAGCTTCTTAGTCCTCAAGGTGATATCTTTGCTTTTTTAACACTTTACAGAGGTCTTTTGCAGCAGATTTGCCCAAGGCACTATGTCCTTTGATTTCTTGACAACTGCTTCCATGGGCATTGATTGTGTATATAAGTGAATTGAAATCCTTAACAACTCCAATCTTTTCTCCCTTTATCATGGTGTTTCTTATTGGTCCGCTTGTGAGGATTGTTTGCTTTATGTTGAGGTGCAGTCCGTACTGAAGGCTGTAGTCTTTCATCTTCATCAATAAATGCTTCAAGTCCTCTTCACTTTCAGCAAGCAAGGTTGTGTCATCTGCATGTCGCAGGTTGTTAATGAGTCTTCCTCCGATTCTGATGGCATGTTTTTCTTCATACAGTCCAGCTTCTCAGATTATTTGTTCAGCATATGGATTGAATAAGCATGGTGAAAGGATACAACCCTGATGCACACTTTTCCTGATTTAAAACCGTGCAGTGTCCACTTCTTCTGTGTGAAAGACTGTCTTGGTTTATGTACAGTTTCCTCATGAGCACGATTAAGTGTTCCCTCTCTGTTTTAGGAACTCAGTGGTATAGTGGATAAGGTATTTGGCTGCTAACTAGAAGGTCAGCGGTTCAAACACATGAGCTGCTCCATGGAAGGAACATGGGGCAATCTACTTCCATAAAGATATAAAGCCGCAGAAACCCAGTGAGGGTTGCTATGAGTCAGAATTGACTCAATGGCCGTGAGTTTAGTTTTGGTCTCTGGTATTAAAAGTTTTGGTGCTTTGATGTTTTTCTTTTTCCTTAACAGTACAAACTACATGATTTGGAGCAAATTCAGAGTGGAAGGAGAAAGCTAGCACATGTGACATTTAGAGTTGTGGATCTTATCTAAACCATCCATGCAGATATGGCCTCAAAAGGCAGGGAGTAAAGTTATACTGTATATATATATCCTCCCCCCATGAGGAATATGCAGCTTTGAAGACCATGTCTCTTAAAAGCCCTAATGGTGGAATGGTTAAGGACTCAGCTGCTAACTGAGAGCTTGGTGAGTTGAACCTACCTAGTGGCTCTGCAGGAGAAAGACCCGATGATCTGCTCCCATAAAGATTACAGCCAAGAAAACTCTACAGTTCTGCTCTGTCCTATAGGGTCACTAGGGGTCAGAATTGACTCAATGGCATCCAACAGACCAAGCCTCTAGTTACTCTCACTGAAACAAAAAAGACAAAAAAGTATGCAACCCAAATAACTTTTTTCCAAGGGTTTAATTTCCCCATCTGGCTGGTGACATTAAGTGGATTTGTGCAGAAGTCCAGAAGGGAGCCCTATTTTTGAACTCCAGGTAGCACTAATGTGTCACTTCACTAGCAGCCTGGGCATCAGCTAATATGACTTTAGATTTCAAAAATATCTTTGGTAACTGAGGAAATCATGAGGAAGTCATAACTGCTGTGTTCTATGATCAGTGTCAAAGGAGTCATTTGGAGATGTAGCTGTGGGGAGATGGGCGACGGGGAGAGACTCGGAGCAGGGCTATCTTGGCATCGTCAGCGAGGAAGCAGGGTCAGAAAGGTGGGCGGAGCCGATATTCTTGCTAGAGATGAAATGCCTATCAGTCACTTGCCAGTGTGGTGATTTTTATTATTTATTCCCCTGCATTTTAAGAGGACCAGTTTTTGCTTTGTTCTTTTCTCTGCTGGCATGCTCCAAACAGCTTTTTCACCTCTGTTACACTATAGCCTCATGAAAACTGCCTATGGAATATCTCGGGCCTATTTTTAAGGAAAAAAAAAAATGTGTCTTTGCATAAAGTTGCATTTTGGTATCTTTAAAAAGAAAATAAAGGTAAAAATATATACGTGCAGCATAAACTTAGAATGGAATATTCCAATGTGCCTGGGTAGTGGAACAATGGGAGAATTTTTGTCTTCAGTCTACTTTTATATTTTTATACCTAATATTTACCAAATATCCTATAATGAACACGTGTTATCATTTTATAATGGAAAAGGAAGCTTTATTTTAAATAATGATAATTGCATTTTTATGATTCTTGACAATTCCTTATTTTATTTAAAAAGCTAGTGAAATGGTTAATTGGAAGGCTTACTCCTTTCACGGAAAATAAATCTTGACCTAAAACTCCCAACGAAGCAAAACTAAAATCAGATATTCTTTATCTGATGGTGAGTAAAAGGAAGGTTTAAATTAAATTAATTGGGACACAGACAGACCTGAACCCTCAAGGAAGAACATACCCAAGGGGCATCATTTAAGATCCTGAAAATAAATAAGAATGAAAAAGCCCTGTTAATGTGAAGACAATAAGTGAATAAAATAAGAAAGAAAATATTTTAGTATCAATAATTAAAATGTTCACAGGGAAAAGGTAACCACAGAAAGGAAGTGGGGTGAGAGCTGTCTGTCACATTGTGGGGATGGCAATCAATGTCATGAAACAAAATGTATATGAACAATTGAATGGAAAATGAATTTGCCCTGTAAACTTTCACTCAAATCACAATAAAAAAAATTAAAATGTTACTTTTTATGGGTTAGGAGTTTAAAAGAAAATTAAAGAGCAGTTCCGTTTCTCCTTCTATATTCCTCTACAATGAGTAGAAGTGACCTCAGAATGCAGTCAAGGAATCCATAGACCAAAAGAGCATGAGAATGACCAAAGAGCAGGGCTCAGCAAACTGTGGCCCACGGGCCAAATCAGACCCACTGCCTGTTTGTATATACCCTGAAAGATGAGAATGGTATTTTCATTTTTAAATGGTTGGGTAAAAATCAAAATAATAATAATATTTAATGGCATGTGAAAACTATATGAAATTCAAATTTTAGTGTACTTAATAAAGTTTTATTGACACACAGCCACACTCATTTGTTTACATACTATCTATTCCCTGCTCCAACAGCAGAGTCGAGTAATTGACACAGACTGGGGCCCACAAAGCCAAAAACATTTCCTGTCTAGCCTTATACAGAAAAAGTTTGCTGATCTCTGCTTTAGGGAGACAGACTGTAGGGTGAAGAGGAGAAGAAAATACACTTTAGAATTAACTGGTTATAAGCATGTAGTTAAGGAGCTCTGGTGATGTGGTGGCTAAGGGTGGCGGTTCAAACCCACCAGCCACTCCGTGGAAGAAAGACTGGGCAATCTACTTCTGGAAAGATTTACTGCCTTGGAAACCCAACTGGGGTTGCTATGAGTTAGAATCGACTTGATGGCAGTGAGTTTGTTTTTTTTTTGGGAAACATATAGTTATAGAGGGAGCTCTGGTAGCATAGTGCCTAAGGTACTTGACTGATAACCAGAAGGCTGGCGGTTCAAACCCACCAGCCACTCCTCGGAAGGAAGGTTGGGCAATCCTACTTCCGTCATGATACTGCCTCGGAAACCCAAGGAGGGGTCGCTATGAGTCGGGTCCGACTCGAAGGCACATAACAACAACACAAAATAGTTGTAGACATAGTGGCTACAATGGCAGGCTCAGGTATAGGAAGTATCATGAGGCTGGCACAAGACCAGGCAGTGTTTCGTTCTGCTGTGCATAGAGTCAATATGAGTTGGAGACGACTCTATGGCACCCAACAATGACAACATAGTTATACCTGACTGTGGTAGTTAAGATTGTGTGTAAACTTGGCTGGGCCTGGTTTTGAGTGGCTGGGCAGCTGGATGTGGTATAATCAACTCCATGATGGGATCCGCTGTGAAAAGCTAATTAGTTGGCTTCGGGATGTGGCCTGCTTCCAGTATGTAAGGAGATGCTTTGAGAAAAGGTCTTGAGCTTCTTGGCACATCTGGATCCTGCATTTGGCCAAGTCATCAGTGGCCTGCCATGTTGCCTGCCAATCTTGGGACCATTTCTGGACTTGAACTAGTGGCCTGCTGTGTTGCTTGCTAATCTTGGGATTGGGCCATTTCATTTATTGACCATGGCTTTGTCAGCCTCAGCAGCCAGCAGCTGCCCAAGTTAAGAGAAGCTTCCAGTTTCAGTGGTCCAGAAGCAAGAGGCAGCGCTGAAAGCCAAGGCTGAGGGGCTGGCTCCTAGAACTCTGACTTCTAGCCTTCTACACTGTAAGAGAATAAATCCCTGTTTGTTAAAGCCATCCACTTGTGGTATGTCTGTTATAGCAGCACTAGAGAACCAGACTCTGATATTTTAAGTTCTAGTGCTCGAAATTCTCTGAAACCATCTCAAGGTCCCTGGCAATCACCAGCCTTTGAATCCACCAGGCACTCTCCAGAAGAAAGATGTGGCAGTCTGCTTCTATAAAGATTACAGCCTTGGAAACCCTATGTGGCAGTTCTACTTTGTCCTACAGGGTTCCTATGAGTACAAATGGACTTGATGGCAACAGGTTTGGTTTTGGTACTTGAACTTCCCAATGGATGTGGTCACCTGAAACAGTGCTTCTCTAACTTTAATTTGCATATGAATTTCCTAAGGATGTTGTTACCATGCAGATGCTGAAGCAGCAGATCTGGAGTAGAGCTCAAGCTCCCAGGTGATGCTGATGCTGATGCTGCTCTGCTCCACAAACCCCACTTTGAGCAGCAGGAGTGTAGAAAGGCTGCACCCTTCATGTACCCTTATTCTACAACATCATCATCTGAACTCCTCGTAGAGAGTCCACTAAGAGTTAGATGAGTGTACCTGCTAGAGGGTTATTTTTTACTATTTTATGCAGGCCTCCTTACCCATATATGGCATTGACTGGCTTGATGAATTTTGTTGTCATTGGCTGCCCTCAAGTTGGCCCCTGACTCATGGTGACCCCATGCACAGTGGATTGAATAATTGTGGTCCATAGCTTTCATTGGCTGATTGTTCAAAAGGAAATCACCAGGCCTTTGTTCCTAGTCTGTCTTGGTCTAGAAGCTCCACTGAAATCTGCTCAGTATGACAGCAACAGACAAGCCTCCGCTAAGAGACAGGCGGTCACTGCACAGGAGATTCCTAGGCTAGGAATCAAATCCATGTCCCCCACATGGATAGCAAGAATTCAAACACAGAACCAACACTGCCTCCAAGTGATACATTTTACTCTCCTCTGAAAAATTGAGAGCTTTTCCAAAGAATCATGTTCCCTCAAAAATAAAGATTTCCTGACACTGAGGATGTTCCAACTAATATGGCAGGACTTCAGAATGGAACCAGAAAAGTCGAGTGTCAAAAAGATTTCCAGCAACAATAACATCATGAAAAGAGAACATATTTTTATATAAACAATAATCATTTGGATTTTTCCAGATTGGGAGTGTTTGTGAAACAAATAATCTAACCTTGTAGTCACTCCCCACATAGCCTGGACTCCTTGGCATGCCCGTAACATTTCTTCACCCGTTTTGAATTTCAAGATAGGACACTCATCGAAATCCCAAGTGCTGAGAAATCTCACAACAGTATTCAAGAGCCACTAATTCAGTTGCAGAAACAGGAGGGTTAGCTCTACCAGAGAGCAATAAACACATCTAATTTCCTAAATCTTTAGCCACAGAAAACATGGAAAGGTGGTTTGCTCATTTTAGAAGAGTTTTCAACCACACAACCCTAACTCTTTTAAAGTTTAATGACTGGTTTTCCCCTGCCAAAATCAACATGGCCTCCTGCATCCGGTATATGCCAAGGAATGTCTCCAGGCTTGCTACACTGTAAAATGCACCTAAAATTTTCCCAGTAGAGCACTTGTTCATACATAACTTTCCAGCTAATCAAGGATTAGGAGTCTGTGAAAAAATAATTCAAGGAGCCCTGGTGGCACGATGGTTAACTGTTCAGCTGCTAACCATAAGGTTGGTGATACAAACCTACCTAGTGGCTCGAGGGAGAAAAGATTTGGCCATCTGCTCTGGTAAAGACTATGGCCTAGAAAACCCTGTGGAGCAGTTCGACTCTGCCTATGGGGTTGTTATGAGCCGTAATTGATTCATGGCACACAACAACAATGAGAAAAATTAAAAGAATAATAGTCAAGAGTTCATAATGCCTAAAAGTTTAGAGCATCCTTTACCCCTTTCCAAGATATTTCTTTCTTTTTCACATGGATAAGGTTTTATCGTTATATATACTCTCTGGGTACATTATAATCACCAAGAGTCATTAAGCTAATTCAATCAAAATATCCTTTAAATCTTAGGAGGAAATCCTTTGTTTTCCCTCATATTAATTTTTAAATCAAACAGAAAGCCAGAGTTAAAATTTCCTCCCACCAGTGTCACTGTATTATAAAGGAATTGAATAATACCATTAAAGATGCCTTTTAAAGGCCCAATTTGTATTTTGTGAATTAAATTTCATGATTTGTTCAGGCAAACATTAACCAAAAAACTCAAATGGAAAGAAATTTCATCATGGTTTTGCTCACAATGCTAAGTAAAGCCTTTCCTCATAAAATACATAAAAGTCTCTGACTATGAATTCATAAATGCTCATTTTGCTAAATGGAATACATAAATTATTTTTTTTGCAACCAAATCCTCCAGCCACTCAAAGCCACTTTATACCCACTTCATGCTTTAGATTGTACATTGGTACCTGAATGTATTTATTTATTTAGCCTCCTAAAAGAAAAAAAAAAAAAATCCTACTTTTTCATTGGCATATTTAATAAAAACTCAGATGTATCACTTACTGACATAAGGAAATAACCCTACACCTGCATTAGAACAACATTTGCTAAAAGACAGCACAACAAAACCTCACCATACACACCCAATTCTCTTGGCCTCCAGCATGACACTTACCTAGAAAGAGGAGAGTGCCCAGCACCACGGTGCCAGCTACGGACACCACCAGGGCAATTCGAGTGCCTCTGCTGGCCATCTTCCCAGTCTCCACATTGCTCCCCGTTTCTGCTTCCATCGGAAGGGACAGAGACAGCACACTAGAAGAAAGTCGCTTCTTGTGGTTTGTTGGCTGGTCTCAAGAGTCTCGAAGAGGTTGACATCCAAAGTTCTGTTACTCTTCTACTAATGGACAGCTCACAAAAATTTCCATTAGGAACTCTCCCCTCACCACTCTTTCTCAAATAATTCTTCCCAAACGAAATAAAAGAAACTCAAAATATTGGTTGCCTTAGCTTTCCCCCTGACTAGACAAAACAAACAGTGGTTGCTTTATCTCGATGCTCTCCCTCAGCAAAGTCCCTCACAACTGAACGCTTGGCAGGCTCTTCTCTCAGGCGTTCGGAGTGTACATGTTTTACTATGTTGCTGAACAGATGTTTTAGCTATTTAAATGTATAGTCACTTGGGGAGGAAAAAACAATTGTCTTTATCAAAACTGGATTCTCATCAAACTCCCCCAAACCATGATGAGTGAGGGGGCAAGGATTCTCCCAATCCACTTAAAGATTTAATTAATCAAGTAACTCTTTTGCAGTAATTCAGCTGACCTGAATTATTTTCATCACAGATAGTCTTTCAGTGTGTGAGTCCCTTTTTAAACCCTTCTAAGAGTTCCTGGGATATCCTGTAGCATTTTATTTTGGGAACTTTGTGTATGATAGCATGTGCCAAAAATCAGAGTCATAGTCAAGTGCAGTGCAAAGTAGCAATTAAGACAACCTACGGGGGCTGATGTTTTGGGCTGGAGCCTTTTTTAAGGGAAAAGAAAAAGCACTTCCTCTTTATGGTGCTAAGAATTGCACAAAAGACAGTTAAGTATATAAATTAAACTTATTAGCAACCACAAAAGATATGGCAGAAGTTGTTTTTCCCTGCATGTTTTCATGAAAAGTACATCCAGGTACTTTGTCCTCAAGCCTCACTTGGGCAGCCATTGGTTAGTACATTTCTGGGTTTAATTAAAGCATCCATTAGAGCAGATTCCCAAAAATTAATTCAAAAGTCATTGGTTTCACTAGAAAAACTGATTAATGACTGGGTCTTTGACTTCTTTCATTTCTTTGATTACAAGAACAACTTAAATTATGAAAATCTATTTTCTTCATGGTGAAGAATGACTGATATTCTGATGCTACTGATATGTATCCTATCTTTCTTATCTAATGATATAATGACTTGACCCAAGACCAAGACTATCTTTGAGGAAAGAAAGTCCAATGACTTTCTTATCCAATGATATAAAACAAAACCAAGCCCATTGCCATCAAGTTGACTCCAACTCATAGCAACTCTGTAGGACAGAGTAAAACTGCCCCATAGAGTTTCCAAGGCTGTAAATCTTTATGGGAGCAAACTGCCACATCTTTCTCCCATGAAGCAGCTGTTGGTTTTGAACCACTGACCTTTTGGTTAGTAGCTGAGCACTTAACCACTGTGCAACCAGGGCTCTGATGATATAAAACTCACTGCCAGAAAGTAAATTCTGACTCATAGCATCCCTATAGGACAGAGTAGAACTTCCCCCATAGGCTTTCAAAAGACTGTAAATCTTTACAGAAGTAGATTACCTCATCTTCTTCCCATGGAGCAGCTGATGGGTTTGAACTGATGACCTTCTGGTTAGCAGCCTTAACAACTACACCACCAGACCTCCTTTCCTTCTAAATGCTCAAAAGACAATGATACTTGACATTTTGGTATACCATTTTCATATCCAATTTTAAACTTGGGTTCAAACTATATACTTGATAGCAAAGATGTTTTTATCTTACTTTTACAAATGTGAACCCTGAGAGTCAAGGAATGGCCTCAGGGCACTGGAAAACCAGAAGATGGAAAGATAAGGGTGGTCACAGCCACACAAGCACCACACGCAAATCTACTTGTTCCCTTCCTTCCTCCAAATCTGGACTGACTTACAATGGTGGCCAGTTGCCACCTGGGGATAGCCTTCCCCCAACTGGATCTGGTGATTCCCCCCAAGGTGAGAGCATTTGGAGCCTACCAGGAAGTACACCTATTCCCTCACTTAACAACATTCATTCATTCCTGAAGACCCAACTGCTTAGTGAAAAGCTATTAAACAACAACAACAAATTCCATTAACTGTAATAGAAAAATTATGATGCCTTCTACCCCCAACTAAGGTATGCAAACACAGATAGAAAAATATTTTAACTGAGAGATGGAAACAAGTCTATAAAAGTAATAAACAACTTCGAGATGTTGAAAATACAGTTTGTTCATATAATGTAATATAACGAAGGTTTATTTTACTTACCACAGGAGGAAAGGAAGACTTGAGAGTGGGTGGAGATTTGTGGAGGAAGAGTGTGAGACCTTCATTCATCACAGGTGCAATCTTCATTGTGTACCACTGTCTACATTAATTTTTCAGCCTTTTGAGAGATGATGATTATCTTGCACTAAAACTGGGCTTAAAAATAGTTATTGCACAGAAAAAAATGTTTTAAAATCTATGACAGGTTTTAAAATTTATGCACAGGGAGACAGTTCAGGGGGCAGGAGTGCATGGAGGGATGGACACAAGAAAGAGGTAACTATCTGGAGGAAGTGGGAGGGGAGCTGTTGCTTTGAGGTAAATTTTAGTCAATGTCATGAGTGTATGTGAACAGTGGGGCTACAGGAGGTGCAAGTGTGGATGGAGTTGCTGTCTCCCATCAGATAGGGCAAAAAAAAGAAAAGAAAAGAAAAATAACAGAAGAAAAACAGAAAAAGAAAAACATAAACTAAGGGGTCACTATGAGTCAGGTCCGACTCGACAGCAAATAACAACAAAAACAAGAAGGATGGGGGAAAAAAGAAGAAAGGCAAAACTAGTACAAACAAAGGAAGGGAAAGAAAAGAAAATGAGAAATAAGAATACTGGGGGTTCAGGCTGCCCAGTTGGTGTTACTGGCAGCTGAGGAGGTGGTGGGCAGCAGGCTACCCAGTCCAGGACAGCATGTTCTACTGGCCTAAGGTGGCAGGGAGTGTATGCCCCCAAATGTGGAGATGACATTCACGAAGCACCCAATCCACAAGGGCATGCCTCTACCCTCAAGTGAGGCAGGGATGGCGTGAGGGGTGTCAAAGCCACCAGGTGGGTGGGGGTGAGGGATGGCCACATTTCTGGTCACCAGGAGGGTGTGGGGAATGAAGGGAAGATACCTTTCTGGTCCTAGTCACTAGTGTGGGCACTGGTGCATTCCTGGGCTTGCAAAAGTTCAAAATGGCCACACTTTGTCCCACCAGTTGACAATTCACCACTCCGTATGTCTCCTTATTCACTGTTTTTGTTCACTTTCATCTTGTAGTCGGTATTTGATCTACTTCTTTATCCTTCCCTTTGATGCTCAGGGCCCTAAGATCCTCATCCAGAACAGTTTGATTTGTTTTCTTGTGTCTTTGTTGTAGAGGGTCTGGGTAGCTTGTCTGCCTAGTCCACTATCTTGCCAGAAGTCATGTAGGGTGTATCTAGAGTCAATCTCTTTTGGGATACAACCCAAAAAAATAAACCAAACTCACTTCCATTGAGTCAGATCTGACTCATAGCGACTCCTCCTTGGGTTTCCAAGGCTTTATCTCCAGAAGTAGAGATACAGTCTCCTTCTGAGGAGTGGTTGGTGGGTCTGAACTGTCAGCCTTCTGGTTAGCAGTCAAATGCCTTAGGCATTACACCACCAGAGCTCCTTTTTTTTGACATATAAAGGAGATTAAATAATGGAGGAAGAAAGTAGAGATGGAGGAAGAAAGATGCCAAGCTACATGACCACCCAGGAGTAGAAGCTCAAAAGAGACAAAGACCTTCCTCCAGAGCTGACAAAGCCAGAAAGCTTTCTTGTAGAGCTAGCACCCTGAATTCAAACTTCTAGGCTCCTAAATTGTGAGAAAATAAACTTTTGTTTGTTCAACCTACCTATTTGTGGGATTTCGGTTATAGCTTGTTGTTGTTGTTGTTATTTGCCATCGAGTCGGCCCCGACTCATAGCGACCCCTCCTTGGGTTTCCGAGGCAGTATCACTACGGAAGTAGGAATGCCCAACCTTCCTTCCGAGGAGTGGCTGGTGGGTTTGAACCGCCAGCCTTCTGGTTAGCAGTCAAGTGCCTTAGCCACTATGCTACCAGAGCTCCTTCGGTTATAGCAGCACGAGGTAACTAAGACAGTCAGGGAAACTGATGAGTGTGTCTTTGCCTAAAGCTGTATTGAAATTTATGGTATATTGTTTAGTGTGTTTTGGGGTAAAAAGTCATCATTCTGCCAAACAGGGGAATGGTCAAAAAAAATTATAACTTCTCAAGATCTGTGTAAGTTAGTCAACAGAAAAGTAACTACGTAAGGTAAGTCTGTATTAATAGGCTGTTCTGCACCCACTCAATTCTCTGTTAAGAACCTCCAAGAAGGGAACACTGTTAGATAGGTAGAGGTAAGTATTGATTTGGGTGAAGAGAAGGGCAATGTACCAAATGTGAGTGATCAACATGGTAGCATTGAGGAAAAGGAAGACATAGAGAGGTACAAGGGAGGTACAGACAACAAAGATGAACCCTTTTGCACATACAGCACTGCATTGTCAGTGAAGCCAAAAACGGGTATACAGGTGGGTAGATGGGTGGACAGGCTGAACTATTAGGTATGTCTATGCAGCAGGGTCAGAAGGAAGATGGGGCAATCTACTTCCACAGTGATACTGCCTCGGAAACCCAAGGAGGGGTCGCTATGAGTCGAGTCTGACTCAACGGCACATAACAACAACAACATGCAGCAGGGAGTGTACCCAAGACCATGTATAGGGTTGGCAGACAAGGGTTCCATAAGTGTACAGTATGTTCTGTAAGAATTCCCAGGTGTATACTAGAGCTGGGGAGCTCTGGTAGTGTAGTACCTAAGGCACTTGACTGCTAACCAGAAGGCTGGCAGTTCAAACTCACCAGCCACTCCTCAAAAGGAAGATGGGGCAATCTACTTCCATAGTGATACTGCCTTGGAAACCCAAGGAGGGGTCACTATGAGTC